GGTTCAAATGTAATCTGAAAGCTAGAAATCAGTGACTGAAGATCAGGGAACACTGGTAAATAAAAACACTGAAGAAGGATTCTTCTACCAAGTGGCCTCTACTTTAAATGTTTAAGTTTCAATATCTGGGTCATTTTAGTAGGTAGCACGTTAATATTCTGTGTTTATAAAGTGTAATCATTTAATGACATAATGTGATTAGAAAGATTTAAATTACTGTAGTAGTGAGGTGAAGTCCCATTTGCACTGGAAGGTATTGAGAGCAGGATTTCACTCTGGGAAGAGTTAGAAACAATTTTTTTCCGAATAAAAGTCATCCTAGTCATTGCTAATGTGCAATGATTGAGAGTGTCAAAGACAACTTACCTTTCTTGTTTGAAGAATAATAAGCCAGTACAACAATCTTTACAAAAAAGTGACAAAATCAAAGAAATACAACTTAATAGCTATAGTGAGTTACCGAGGTTACATGTAATTATGCTAAAAATTATTAGTAAAGATTAGTAGTGTTGGTGCTGACATTTAAGTAACTGAATTTTATTGATACTCAAGAACAAGAGGTTAAACATTTTGTTACCATAATGTATTTGAAAGTTCTGCTGAAAAATGTTAAGGGAACTTTGAGCTTCAGGTTTCTGTTGGACCTGTCACTACAATCTTTTGGAAAAATTTAAGATTATTAAAATAAATTTATTCAGTGCACCAGGTTGTCCTGAGGCTGACATTCTGGTTTTAATTGTTCATCATCTGCACTAGCAGAGGATCATATAACTGGACTGTGAGGTTTTTTCAAGTGGTAAAGATGCAGTTCCAGAGCACATCTGTGGCCCAAGTTTTCCCAGCAAAATTCACAATCTGGGTAAACTGTTTTCTGTGATTTATGGGGGGGGGGGAGTTGAATGCTTTCTGTTTTAAGGCACAGGAATGAATCATTATTTGACCCAAAACAGTGTAACTTTTATCAAAAAAGAAGCCTGGAATTTCCATAAAATGTGAGGAATGTGTGTCAGCCATTGAGTTGGTCTTGATAGATGAAGGTAATGTACCACATTAGAAAAAAAAAAAAAGAAATATATATAGGGGGGAGGGTGATATATGGGGTGAATCACTGGAAATGAAGGAATGTTACTTTACTTTCAACAGTAGTATAAGTTTACAAAAAAGTCTTTGATATGTATCATTAACTTTGACACAAGACTAATACCACAAAATTTGTGATTATCTTTGTTGATGCATAATTTGACAGAGTTGATCCATATGCTGTTGGATTCTAAGGATTAAGATGGAGAAGGTGAAACATAAGAATGATTTGCTGTAGTACTGTTGACAAAATGCTGCTTAAGTGTTCTAAAAATGCTTGATTAGTATCCGTTAGTGCATCATTTGAGAGATGTGAATTATTTATTTTGGTACTGTGAGGAGAAATGCTGGTATTCAGGAGCAAAGGCCAGGAACAGGTATAATGACACCCTACAGTTCCTGCTCTTGCCCAGATGTTACGACTTCTGATTTAAAAAAATTATTTTCATATTATGGAATAAAACACAAAGCACACATGCTGTATCTTTGGTGTATGCAAGTCCCAATAGTGAAATATTGTACTGCAAAATATGAAGATGGCAGTGGTGACAAAGGTGTGGAAGTAAGAATTTGTGTCCTAGGAAGTCTTGAGCTCTAATTGCCCTTTTTCCCCCTCCTTCACACAGATATCTTTGGCGTTGATTGTTTCTGCTGCTGTTCAGGAATTTTTCATTTGTGTTCTTTGCCCATTTGTTGTATTGGGATAGTAACAATTTGTTTGTTTTTAAAAGTGTGTGGAGGTTTATGTTTACATACCATTATGAAAACATAGTGCTATTCAAATGTTAAAGTTTTTGTTCATACAAGATCTGTCTGAAGCTTCTAGTACAGCTTTTGAAATGAGAAACTGTAAAGCCTGAGCTTTTATGACATTTGTGTTTTGAATTCTTGTGGTTGCACACTAATTTTTGTGTTGATACTAAAATAAGAGCTATTATGATATCCAGGAAACTCCAGTGCCCTCTGTTTTGAATGCTCTAAAGGGAGATTCGTCTAAAATGTATGGCTGTAGAAATGCTGCTGAAGATGATGAAAAAGCCTGGAGATAATCCGCTAGTCATTAAGGTTAAAGATGAAGATTAAGGGCCCAAATCGGCCTTTTGGAGATATGAATGTAGAAATAGGAGACTTCAGCTGATCTCTGTATGCCATCAGGTCAGCAGGATTTATCCTGGATTTTCTCTTCTGATTTTAACAAATTTGAATGAATTCAGTTTGGAAAGGAGTTCGGTTCTGCACATCTGCAAAGCACAATAATTTTTAGCCCATTTAGTTCCTTTTGCAGCTACAGGTTAACTGAATTAATAAATGCAAGGTGACATCTTAGTTGCATAGTTTTGGCTAATGTATTCTAAAATGTACTTTAATTGTTTATAGTATTTTTAGGAACGTGGTGACGAGCATTTAGGAATGAGGCAGTTACCAGTGTAAGAATCAGTGTCCTAATTTTCCTAGATTTATATTCATATATATGAGAAAGAAGATGCTATGCTTACTGCTTTTCTTATTTTAAAATGACTCTGATAGAGGTGCATTTTATGCATGATCTGACTTTCCCAGCAGTGGGGTTTTTTAATGGTATTTCCATTCATGCTCACAAACCAGGAAATTCAGATAGCAATAAACTGCAGAAAAGACATACTTACCTATTTTCAAAATTACAATATCCTAAACCCAAAGAAAGCTGTAAAAGGCAAATAAAAGTTTGTTTAGGTGACTTAAATTAAATGAAAAATATGTAAATTTGTCTGTAGCAACATGTGTACAAAGAGCATGTGAAACTACCAGTGGAAGTGATATATTGCACCAAAATAAATCACGTTACTACTGTGTACAGGGCAGTAGAGGGAATAGCTCATTTTGAGGGGCTGGTTGTTTACACTTACACGTTATGGTTGAGTCGAGTATCTGTACAGAAATGTATGAATTGCGTGTATATTGATGATCTTGTAGACTTAAATCTTGTAAACTACTTACATGTAGTTTCTTTAGGTAAAATATAGCTGTTCTGTGTGATGCATATTCTTCTTCTGGTGTCCTCTGCACTACCTTCGGTGTGTGTGCATCGGTAACCTCTGGCTTTCAGGTTGCGGGTCCTAGGTGTCCTGCCAAGACGATTCATGCTGACCTGGACCCTGCTCCATTCAGTCTCTGCAGGAGTAGGCTGTGTGATGGATGTGAGTTCCCATTCTCCAGGGCCAGATGTGCCTGTATGTCACCTCACCTGGCAGTACAGTACACCCAAGGAGTTGAGAGAAGGCCTGTGAGGAGCCTTTGCTTGCTTAGAACCCAGGTGATTCATCTGTGGAGAAAGTACAAATGCAGACCTTCCTGGAAATGTGATGTTGTAGTAACTGAAACATCATCCGTACCATGCATAGAATAACCTCTCTTTTAGACAATGCTTCTACTGAAAAATTGAAGAATTAGGGGGGGTTTTGTAGCAATGGCATTTCTGTTCCCTTGGTATTTGGTTGTGTCCACTACAATATTGAGGTCATTTTTGTATTATAACAAGTCACTGCTCTTTCTGCATTTGATTCCTGAGTATAATCTTTTGTTTGTATGTGGTGTTACTGAATTCCATCACACTGCTGTCATACCACCTTTGCGCTTTATCAGGATAATTCTCCATTGCCACAATATTCTTTGAAGTTTGGGGGGAGGGTGTTTTATTATTTTTTATTATTTTTTTTATTCCTCCTGATTTCTGCCAATGGCAGTTCTGGTAAATGTATTCTGTATTCTATTGTCTAAATCATTAATGACAATGTTAAATAAAACCAGACCCAGCAGGCACACACCCTTGCAGGAACCTCCAGTTTGACAGTGAGAAGTTGGTAATTTCTTGTTGGAGTGCACTGTTGCAGCCAGCTGCACATTTATCTGACAATAAGATCATTAAACAATACAATAATGTAATTAAATATCAAAAGTAGCGTTGTGCAACTGTATCAAGTATCTTTGTGAATGTTAAAAAACTTCACGCTGGCCTTCTCTCATGAATTCTTTAAGCCTTTTACAGGGCATTGTGGGGGAGTTACATTGGTTTTGCATTGTTCTCCTTGAAAAATCACAATGAATGGTTGTCACGCTGTCTTGTATGTGGTTAATAATTCGGTATGTTACGAGGTATTGAAAAAGGGTGACTCATCTGGATTTCCTCAGATCCTTTCTGCTTTTTGAAGGAAAAAGGGACTGATGTCATCTCTGAAGCCAAGATAAACCAGAGCAAAATCTGGTTGTATGTGAGAGTACATGACAAAAGCTCCCATTAATAATCCCTTTGTTGACAGGTTTCCATCATCTGTAAATAAATTTAAAATAATTTAGTGTGTGTTAGCATGATGTATTTAATATTCCTCATTGTTCTAGGAGTGAAAACTTACATTCTGTTTCTGTGCCTTGTGATAGTAAAATAGCATCATATAGTTTTTCAGTGTATAGACGTTCATTAATGTAGTGAGACTAAATTCCGCTATTCATAATTGTCTGCATCAGCAAGAATGATTCCTGATGTCTGCAGTGTGTGCTGGAATATTTACATTATAGCTGTGTTCTGCTTTCTGTATTCTGTCAGGGATGGTGCTGCTTCGGGAGAAGTGCAGAGGCACAAAAACTTTTTTCTATTCATTCTCCTGTAATTGTGATGGGTGCTCCCAATTACATTCTGCATTAATAGTCAACAAAGGTGCTCATCTGACTAGCTGTATCAGACACAGATGTTTCCGGTTACTCCTTTCTGCCTTTGGCAGTCACTTCCACAGCTCCTTATTTACTTGTGGAGGAAAAAAAAAAGGCATGGTAACCAAGACAAGAAGTTGTTATGCTGGCATATTAACTATATAATTTGTTTTGTATAGAGAGCTTTAAAGATTAATATTCAGTGTGTTTAATCTATTCTCTTTTTTCCCCCCCAGTAATCCAAAGTCCGCTAATCAGAGGATAAACAAAAAAGTAAACAATGATGCATCATTAAGGATTCAAAATTTGTCTATTTTGGTGAAACAAATAAAAACTTACTATCAGGTCAGTAAGTTTTTCTTGTATTATGTTTTGCCTAGAATTGTTTTGAAGTATTCTTTTGTAGTTATGCCTTTAAGGGTAACAATAAGATTAATATTTTGAGATACTGTGTGGGTGGTTCTCTTTGTAAAGCTGGTCAATTTTTTTATCACACTTAATTCACAGCTATAGTAGTAGTCTGGAAACACTTGTATGTGAATGATGATATGTTTATATAACAGATATTCTGCATCTTTGCTCATATAGTAGGTTAAGTACATTAATACTGTTGGTATTTCCTGAATTGAGGCAAGTTTTGTGCCTATGAGAGAAATTATTACATGTGCATTTAATCTTATTCATGGAATCTTTGTAAGAAAAATGTGATAAAATTTATTTGTTCTAGAATTCATTTCATTTTCAGTAGGAAAAAAACAGGTGATAACAATCAAATGGAAATTCATAGTAAATGCAGTGATTATCTAATTTAGAGCTGTAAAACAGCCATTGAGTTTTCGTGTGTTTTGTGCAATAGGTTGTAGCTTGTACTATGCCTTCTAGATGCAGAGCCTGAATAGAGTGGTGGATATGCTACAGTAGGACACTGCGAATATCACCAGTGTCCCTTATAGTGCCCTTCCACACTTCCCTCACCTTTCTGCCAGGAGAATCCAGATCTGGGAGCAAATCTCCTTTGCTCTGCCTGTCACAGCGAGTGCATCATGGCAGAGCCTGTATTGTTGTACGCTTTTCCTCATGTGTACGCACATAGTATATGTTCTCAAAACCTCCTGAGTACAGTGGAAATTCCCAGCTGTCGCTTACTGCGATGGTCAGCCAGTGTACATCTCCCTAGCTCGCACTTTGTACGTATGCATGCTCCACATCCTTCTTTTCTTGGCAGCTACTACATGTGGTGGGTATAAGTGCTGCCTGTTAAGATCCATATGCTTTTCCATTTCCTGATGGTAGTCATTTTTGGCCAGGCATTAGTGGTTCACAACTGGTGCAACAGAAGGCACAAACACTGTTAGGATTGATCTTTATTTGAATACAAAGCATTCCCTGTGCCTCTTCAGCCATACGGTATCAGCCAGTCCTAGTGCAACAACATCAGGCAGAATAGCTTGCATTTAGGTATCTTACCTTTGAATGACTCAGAACTGTGGATATTGCTCCAAACCTTTGTGTTACAAAAAATTTATTATAGCTTTTTTAAGTAAAAAAGTATTCTTATTCAATAACCGTTAAAATCGGTCACCATGCCTTTAATGGTTCAAGTCTGTCCTGTGTAAGTGTAAGCTATAGAGAAGTGCATACACATTTTTTCCCCCCTTTCCCTCCCCAGTCTCTTGAGCTTCTAGTCTTGTCAGATGCCAGCCTCTTCAGATAGTGCATTTTTAGTAGGAGTAAAGGCATTTAGTAGCCAAACCAGATGCTTGTTCAAATTTAAAACTGCTTTTTGAATGTGTTGATGTTCACTCAGATATGCTCGCATGCATGCAAGGAAGTTTACACATTGTGGTAGTTGATTGGGTTTGGAGAGAAGCGTTAAAGGATGGACTGTAGTCTTTGGTTTCCTCTCAAACTTAGTGCAGCCTGGCAGCTGGTGTTTTCCCACAGTCTGTGCGTGGGTTAGCAAGGCAGCACAGCAAATTCAGTTTTCAAGGAGTCACTTTAGTTCCTGTCACCTTTGAAATTACCTAAGGCAGAAAAGCTAGTGCTTGACGGGTGCCTTGGAATCAATCCAAGAGGCCGCTTGTAGCCTGGAGTACGCCTTGGCGAGGGTGTGAGCCTCACACCTGAGTGCTTTGGAAAGCTGTCCATGCCGGCATTGTTTGGTCTGTGTTCTGAACGGGAGGCCTGAGATCTGAATAGTGGAATGTGGAAAGTAATCACTGTATTGAGATACAAGATTAACATCTGGAATATTATAGTAGGGATATTAATGGCCATGGGGACTTTTAATTTTTAGCATTACATTATCCTAACTCTTAAAACTTTTTATCATGAGCTTGTCCGTGCTAGATTATTCCATGCATTTCTATAACATCTGCGGAAAACATTCTCTCAATTTAGCAAATAATTGCATCAGTGTTGTATATGTACTTATCAAAAAACCTGCGCTGATAGAATATAACATTCAAAATTAAAATGTGATGTTAGATTATACAAGTGTTTTGGTTCCTGCATCATCTTTGTTGTTCTCTGTCATTACGATTGCATCTTCTTTTTACAGAGAAGCTACCTTACTTCCTTACAGCATCACCAAGCTCTTCCTAGGTCCCAAACCTGTCTTTTGAGCCTATACATTTCCTGGCAGCATAGGAGTGTGGAATTGTTTCCACCAGCCTATTCAGGAGAACTGATCCCCCTATAAGTTTTGGTGGGCTTGGGAGGTTTAATACAGTGAGCTTCCATAACTCCCATGGGTGCTCTGTCAGCATAATTTTGTAAACAGGCTTAGTTAATTTTTTCAGGTTAAACAACAGTTGAAAGAAATAATGTGAATTTTGGGACCCACAGGTTCCAATTTCAGATTTTTAATAGAAACAGTCATTTCAAAAGTAAACACAAATTGAGAACAGTTGCACCGAGCTTACTGATGAAGTTAACACCGTGTGACAGAAGAGGTGGTAGACATCTGTGAAGCACGGTAGAGGTGTTGTAAGAAAAGGTGATAATGTCATTAGTCCATAGAGGACATGTTTCTTGGTTCCCCCTGCTTGTACTCTGCTTCACAGTAAGGAAAGCTTTATGATAGCATCATGGAATTACTTTAGCTATTACAACAAAGAAGCCACCAAGCCCCCACTTTAAAAAGTATGTGATTTTCTTTTGTAGCAGCTATAAATACCCATTGAATTCCTTTTATTTTATCTGTTCTTTATTGATTTAAAGCTTCCTATGGTGCACTTCATATTTTTTTTTTTTTTAATTTTAAAATTGTCTATTATCAAGATCTCAGAAATACAAGAGTCATGGTTGGTTGAAATTCATGGTATTTGAGAGGGTCAAAGCTATTTTCTCGCTCCTTATAATTTCTTAGACGTGTGCAATGAGTACATATTTTTCAGTCTAGTATTAATTCAGATATAATTTTTCATGTCCTATGGTGAAAGCCTTCAAGTATAGCTAATAATTTCCACAGGTGTTTTTCAAGTTATATTATAATTTTTCAAATTTGACATAAAATGAGTTGACTTATGTTGCATTTTTAGCTTAGAATATAACACCTAATATGTGCCTTTTGGATGTAAAGCAGTGATGGTTCTGGACTACATTGCTTTCGAGTATGAACATTTTATGTATTAATGAATCTGTCACTGTGGAAAAAAACCCCGAAAGCATGACTCCAGAGCTACCGATAGGATGGCATCTGCTGTGAGTAAACATCTGGGAACAGGAGGAAGACTATTCTGCTTCAGAAGAATTAGGCTCTGTCTAGACTGGGGATTTGACCTGATTACAGCCATTGCTGGCTGACAGAAACTAGCCATTGATACAATCTATAGAATAGATAGGCAAAGCTGCTGCTTGAGTGTGTGGGACTTACCAAACTAAAACTCCGCCTGATCATGCAAATAGGATTTTGTACTTTTGTATTCAGGATTGTCCCAGTGTAGCTGCAGGAAAAAACCTAATTTTCGCATCCGTGTGTTGGCGAGGCTACCGGGACAATGGACATGAAATAGAGGAAATTGATTTTTTGTAGTATAAATGCAACTTAGAGCCAATAAAGTAAACATCTATCAATAAGCTAGTCAGAGAAACATGAACACTAATAATTTAAAGGAGTTTTGCTGCATTCTGAGGCACAGAATCTAGTTGGCTTAAGATCCATAAGCCAGCTCAGTGCCATGAGAGGATTCTACTATGTTGAGATGATCTTGCGAAGCAATAAAACAAGGCTTTTGTAGAAGTGATTCGTACTTGTAACTGTTGTTGTTTTTTTTATTAGAGTCCAAATAGTTAAGTATTGAATATGTACTAAGGCCTGAAAAGTTTTAAATTACTTACGTAATACTGATTTCTCTTTAGTGGTGATTAGAATTTGATGTTTGCTTTTGTTCAATACATATGCATATGATTTAAATAATATTTTAATTAACTTTTTTAGGAGAATTTGCAGCAGTTGATCATGATGTCTTTGCCAAATGTATTAATAATTGGCAAAAATCCTTTTTCTGGTAAGTTTATTTTTAACTAAGATGAAAATTTGTATCAGTGTAATAATTTGTATTCTTTCACTAGAAATATAATTCATACAGGATTGAGCATTTCAACAGAAGATTGTGTAAATACTTTTAGGAAATAAGTGGTTTAATAATGATGAGTAACATTATTTTCTTTGTTCATACCGAAGGTCCACACTATACAAAAATGTGTTCTGTCCAAACCTCAGCACTGGCTGACATTAGGATTTATACTGAAACAAAGTGCATTTCCCAGCAACCAGTGAGCCACTGATAACACAAAGTATAAGTTTCACGTATTCCTAGCTACTACACTTTCAACTTTCTTTACCTAATCCACCCCTGAGAAAATTGGCAGTTCAATGCATCTCACTTGATCCAGCTCCCAATTCTTGTTTTTCCTTCCCTAAAACTATTCTGCTTCTCTTGCATCGTTACCTGAAAAATATTGCAATTACCTTCTTGCTTTCTCCCCTGAACTGACACTGTCTTCTCCATGCCTCCCACCTTCTCTGCTTCCAGCTCTGAGAGTTGCAATTTTCAGACCAAGAAAATTAGCCTGTGTGGACCCAGCTGACTATCCACAGCCACTTGGGAATCTCTGCACCATGCTCTCAATTCCAGAAGCACGGAGCAGACACACCTGGCCTGCATGGAGCCACTATGGATTGGGCAGAATTTATTTACTTGGGTCTAATGTGTCGCAGGTGCTCTACTTCTGATGTTCTAGCACCTCAGCAGAGAGGTTAGGAACTACTCTAACAGGCTGTGTAGCTTCCCCTGGCTTGCTTTATTTATTTAAGATGTCTTATATGCCATGCTTCCGTGTGTGTGAGACAAGATTTTTTTCTCATGAGCGAGAAGAACCATCTGTGTTGCCTCACTTTTCAATTCCAGGGTTCATAACGTTGATACTTTCCATATCCCATCTGCATATATCCCATTTATGTAGGTATTGATTTAATTTTTTTGACTTTTACTTTCTGCTTTTGAATATGGCTGCTTTTGCTTCTGAGGTCACAGCCTTTTAAGTTTTTGTATGTGTAGATGCTGTAATCTATCATATGCACCAAGAAGTGTGAATGTGGTCTCTTCTTTTCCAAAACAGTAGGATCCATCGTGCTTTTATATTTTGATTCCAGACTTTCTTCAAGTTTTTGAAAGACTCTATGGATTTGCCTAGAGACCAGATTTAGTGGAAAAACAGGTCATAGTGTTGTTTTTGTAGTGACTTTTTTTTAATCTTTTCAAGATACTGAGACAAAATATGTCTTTTAACATTATTGTGTAGTATAAAATGAAATTTCATTAAAAATGCTCTACAAACCCACACAAAGATAATTTAGTATTCAGTTGTATACATAAAAACTTGTGCTTTAGTCATTAATAAGAAAGCTTCCTGTTTTGGGACCTCAGCTAAGTCTAGCTTTTGTGGTTTGGCAACTGGAACCTCTGGCAGTGTATGCCTTGCTCTCCTTGTGGGGACGTTACTGGATTTGTGAGAAAATACGGACTTCACTCTAGCATAGCACACATATTAAAGAAATTTGTTATGTACGGACAGTATTCTTGAAGATATTTAAGATTCTTGCCAGAGTTCGTCACGGAGTTTGATCTGAATCAGAAGATTGACCTGTTCTTTTGGGTTCTATCCAGAACCTTTCCCCTTTTGAAAGTTAAGGCTGCTCTTGCTGTGTCAATGTGAAGAGGACCTCATCCCTATAGGGATTTTAAGCTTTTTTTTTCTTTTGGCCAAGTGTAGCGAAATCAAACCTCAGCGACCTTTTGAGAGACTTGCTGTGTAAATCTGATTGCATGAAGGCAGGCCCCCCTAGCAAAAGTGTATTCTCTGGTAATGATTTTGGTTTGGTCCACTAAAGCTTAGGCTGTAGCTGTGATTTTTCCACAGGAATATGTCTCAGTTTTTCCCCTTTGCACCACTTTGCACTTACAGAATAATTAGTAGAGAAACACCAGAAGACGACAAATTGCAGAAGGCAAGAAACATGTTTGACTGTATCAGAGGCAGTTGGCTAATCAAGGGAAATGCAGATAGAATGCTGTATTTGAGCTTTGGTGAAAAAGGGGTCAGTTGAGCTAATTGGCAGGAAGCCAGTTGCAGGAGAAAACTGGAGGAGAAGAGCTACAGCATGTGATTGTAAATGTTAAGTTAAATTACAGAGAAAAGGGAGAAAGGAGATAATGATGAGGGAAATCTTCTTTAATGGAGGAAGAGGAAAGATTAAAACCAGTTCATATTTCTGAGGGAGCAAGCCAAGGGAGGATGGAAGGCTACAGAGGATATGAAAGTCAGGGATAAGAGTGAGTGCAGGGAAGATCAAAGGATAGGATAGGGACAAAGTTCAAGCAGCAAGTTGGAGAGTGTAGACGCGAGGCATCAATGATCGATTTCTCTATTTGTGATGGAAAAAAAGGAAGTTGGGTGGTTGGTAGGAGTGGGAAGCTGAGGTTGTTCAATATTTTGCCATATTCCTTCAGGGAATGTGGGGGAGAAACATGGAAACAATATTCCAGTAGGCTTTTAAAAGCCAGTCAAGAAATGTAGTGTGCAAATGAGCGCCTAAAGAGGAGCTCAGGGATTGATTTTTTTTTTTAAAAAAAAAAGTGTGATGAATTTATTGGGATAAATGAATGTAGGAGGTGAGGTGTTGGAACGGATTCATTCTAATACAATATTCTGGTTAACCTTTATTGGTTAAGACAGGCAGCCAGGTGGAATTCCCCTTCTTTAGCTGAAGTAGCATGCTTCTGATGAAACTTGTTCATTGATGTTTTCTATTTCTATGTAAAAGACTTCACAACTTGAGTCTTTGGGATACAAGAAGTCTGTATAAATGATTAAAGATCTCCCATTTGCGTTTGTGTTCTTTGTAATGTATCTACTTGACAAACCTCTTCTGAAAGATTTAAACATTACATGTTCATTGGGATTATACATATCTCCCTCTCAAAGAAGCAGGTTGAGTCAATGTTGAAAAAAGGCTCTCTACTTAATATTATAATAGACAGAGAACTCCTGAAGCCAAGTGGAAGGTGGAATAGCTTAACATCTGTCTTTCGTCTCTGCTTTATGGCAGCAGGCTTGACTCTTTACTGAAAGCTAGTCAAAATCATTGAGTTCTGCATCCTTATAGGTTTTTTTTCTTGATTTCTTTCTAATTTCCTCTTTTGATCAAGATTGCCTTATATCTGTAACTTTTTGAGAAGGATTTTACATTTACTTGTCTTAGAAAATATTGTAGTGGATCAAATCAAAGGGCAATTTTTCAAGTGCTTGTAAGTGAATGGTTACATCTTTCTTATGTGGGGATTCATCAAAAATAGACTTAGTTGCCCAATATAGAAGATCGCAAACTGCTATTTCAGAAAGAAGGTTCTGGTTGAGTTTTCTGTTACATGTTTATAATCGTCTTGTGATCATTTGAGATCATCTGTGATTATCATCTGAGACCTTTAAAAAAAGAGACTTCAGTAACTTAGATCAGGTTCATGAATGACTCTGCGTACCTTAGTACATGCTGGACATTCACTGATTGCTATTTGGACTGAGAGTGAATCTGTTGGTAGCAAGTAGTAGTTACTATACCAGCTGTGTTGCTGAGTACAATTTTTCAGAATAAAGGTCAGATTTCTAGCCAGACCCAGCATTCTGATGTTTGACAGCATAGCTTTTGTCTGGTTAGCGAACAATGAAATAAACTAATGGCTGAAATCCAGAGTATATTGTAGAAAGGATGCTATTAGGATCCTTCTGTTCCTAGATAGCCCAGTGGATAGTGTTTTCTGTTTCAATAAAACAAAATTATATATGACCATATAGAGTTCATTTCCAACTAGCCTAAGATCTTTTACCATCCTCAAAGTGTTAGCTTTATGGCACTTCTGTTCTAGATACAGCATATATTTAGTAGCAGGACAAGGACATTTTGAGTGTAAAAAGTGAGATATATCTTTACTAATCTGTAAACAGAGTTCTTTAAGCTGCTTTAGGAGATTAGATGCTTACAGCCAGATTTGGAAATACATTTTGATATTTAGATCTGCAGATGAATATCTTACATAGCTTTATAAAATAATTTAAATGAACTTGCCACCTCACTCTTAGAGCTGGGTGGTGGCAAATAATGTAAGCATCTTTGTAAATATCTTGAAATACCTGAGATTACTGTTGAAAACTTGATTGTAGGTCTCCGAAGTGTTTTCAAAAATCTCACTCTTAAGTTTTGCCTTACGAAGGGCTGAAATGATGTTTTTTCCATTTGAAAGTATTATGGATGTTAAGCTGTTTGTTAATACTGACAGTTGGCAGTTAAATGGCAAAAAGGACTAAGTTGAAAGCTGGAAAGGTGGGATTTTCTTCATCTTTTTGTTTTCTAAACTATGTTAACATAGATTATATGAAAATAATGAGAAAATGTGATGTTTTCTGAAGAGTAGGGGAAGAAACTCAAATTACCATTTTACACCTACCATCCTTCTGTTCTTGTTTTCTTCTTAGAGCCAGGTACTGAAGAAATAAAAAAACTGCTCCTGCTTTTACTTGGATGTGCAGTTCAGGTAAGTTTAATTATCTTTACATCTGTATGGAATGGTTTAAGTGTTACCGATCTCTTTTCTTACTATTTAAATAGCTGCGGTTGTATATAACTTTGACCGACCTTCCTTCCTCTAGTGGTACTATTACATTCCTTGAAAATCTAGGTATTCTTACAGTTAAAATGTCTACAACTGTACATCTCTTATTGTATGGATATAGCAAACTATGTATGTAGAATTTCTAATAGTTTATTAATTGTAATATTGTTAATACACCTGGTACTGTAAAGAAAGGAAGAAAATGGTAATGTACTGAAGAATTATCTTGTATCTCTTGCTGAGATACTGTCTTATGTATTTAATACATTTTTTTGATAGACTGATGTTCCTATTAGGAAAGTTTCTACTGTTCAGCTAATTAAACTGAAAAAATAGATCAGTGGTATGTTCTTAACAACTTAAGAAACTTCAGTACTAGAACTAGAGGTGGACGCTGAAAAAATACCTGTGGAACTTGCTGTAATAAAATTTGCATAAATAGTTATTTTAAGAAAATTTTATTAGTGTTGAAAATTGTTCTGATTACTGTAACATGGCATAAACCAGGTGTTTATTGGTCAAGAAAATTATTGGATTATGTGATCATTGTAGTTTCAGCTTTATAATTTTTAGCTTAAAAACACAAAGGAAGAATGAAAATACTTGTGATATATATATATAAATTTGTGTGTATATAAAATAGATACCTTTATTTTTAGTGTCAGAAAAAAGAAGAATTTATTGAAAGAATCCAGGGTCTGGATTTTGACACAAGAGCAGCTGTTGCAGCCCATATTCAAGAGGTATATTGTTGTTTTTGTGCTTTTAATTGTAAGAGGATGAATTATCCTTGTTCAAAACCACGTAAATCAAATACGTGATTTGTATATCTAGTAAGCAAAAAAGGCTTTTATTTTTAACTTGATTCACAAAAAGATTTCACGATCAAGCTTTTTTGGATTACGTTGTTAAAGCAGTACCAGGGAACAAGTATGTTGCTCCAAGAATTTCTTAGAATTATAGCAAACTTAGTTTAGTGAAATTTTCATATGCAAATGTATTTATAAAATATAATTTAAATCCCAAGTATGTGAAATCTAACATATATTATGTCATAGTCACGTCTTGCTTTTTATTTTGCCAGAAGTACTACTTTCAGGTAGATAAGAATCTATTCCATTACATACAATTTACTCTATTTTAAATGGTTTTTCATACCTCGTCTAGAGAATTTAACTCATAGAGTTTCAGCTTTATTTTCTATATGCTTCCTTTCTACTCTTAAAATTGAAAGAGGATGTTTTTTCTCTTCCATTTTATTCCATGTAGGTAACTCATAATCAGGAAAATGTCTTTGATCTACAGTGGATGGATGTGATTGTATTGACGCAAGAGTATGTTGAACCTCTCTTGAAAAATATGGCGTTACATTTAAAAAGACTTATAGATGAAAGAGATGAGCACTCAGAGGTATGGATGTGGTTTTATTGGTTAAAAGAACTATGAGAAATATTTTGTTTTAAATTACACAGCTTACCATTTTTATAACTAATAGGTTAATCTATGTTCTGTTAGCATATTTAAACAAGGACTTTTTACTGTCAAAAAGTTGTTTCAGGTAGTTACGGTGTGGGTACTAGTTGTTGAATACTGTGACAAACTAGAAAAGATAATAGCAGATGATCTTTTTCATGTAATTGGAGTCTGAAACAAGTTTAAATAACGTTCATCTGTGATTGAAAACAGCAAATCCAAAGCTGTATGAGCTGAAGTTTCCAGGGTTCAGTAAGCCATTGGTTTGCAAGTCAGTCACTGACAGGTGCCTGTTACATTACTGTATCCTACTGTACAGCTTTGAGTGAACTGGAGCGGAATTCATAGTAGGAGGGGAGGTTTTACAAGCTTATCACGAGGCACAATCATTGTACTGTGTGAGAATCAAGAAACAGAAATGTATTTAATAAAAATTGCAAATTATGAATCATTTTGGTAGTCCAAGATGTGCCCCTCCGTAGAGCGTGGATATGTTAACGTTGCAGTTATTCCCAATATTCCACTGATGCTCAGCAACTGTCTTTCCATTTCGCAGCTTTGGTAAGAGTAAAACAGAAACTGAACTGTGAAGGAAGAGGATGTGTGGTAATGCTTTTTTGCACCGCAAAGGAAGAGTAACTAAAATTCAAGAGATCTTCATATTAGGATAACACCTTTATTTATATGATGAAATAGAAATACTCCTGTAGGTCTGATGCTTTATTTAGTTGGCAAGGATGCTGCTGCTCACTGCAGAACACTGGTTTCTTTAGAGATTTATATTTGTCCTCATGTTCAAGCAATTCCTGCCTTTTCATTACTCAATCCATTCTGAGCACTGATAATTTTGTGGACTTACAAGTCTAAATTTGAGTAGTTCAGGAATAGTCAAATGGTACTGTTAAATAGCTGTGACTATCTGCTTTAGGTATAGAGGACTCTGTAGGGCTTCTAACTTCTATGGCAAAACTTTTCCATTATTCCTACTTCATTTCAGTCTTTGCTTTATTAAGGCAGTAAATTCTACTCGTTTCTGACGTATAAATGGCTCTCTGAATGCGCTTCTATACTCTTTTTCTCTTACTTTATATTTTCTTTTTATTTCTTAGACTATCATAGAACTCTCAGAAGAACGAGACTGTCTCCGTTTTCTACCTCATGCATCAGCAGCACAATCACCTTGTGGATCTCCTGGCATGAAACGCACTGAAAGCAGACAGCACCTGTCAGTCGAGCTGGCAGATGCCAAAGCAAAGATAAGAAGGCTTAGGCAAGAGCTGTGAGTACATGTAGATTGCAGAAGTGTGGTGAGAGTTCTAAAACGTTGATTTTGCACCATAGTAGTGCTCTAGACGAAGTCTTCATTCTTTCAAATACTGAATTACAGTTTGAAACGCTTTTTTTTTTTTTTTTAGTTATTGCATGCCAGGAAGCATATTTTTAGCATTTAAACGTATTTGTGTACCAGTGTGACAAATACAACTTTTCATCTCTGTTTGTCTTCATTTGCATTATGAATTATATTGATGTTTTCACCATAAACATACTGAACTCAATGAACTAGTGCTGTGGTAATTTTCTATCTTTTTGTACTCTGAACTTTCTGAAAAACTATGTTTGAGCAATCTCTTGAGCATGTTAGAATACAGTAATGGGCTCTTTGCTTTGCATAAATTATTTGTCTTTTAGAAATACTCACAGCTGATCCGATGCAGCATTCCCTTTCTCTTTTACATACTGTGCCCATATTGTTGTTTCAGAGGCAAGTTCTTTGTGCTTGCTTTATTGTTCATGACCAGTAGTGAATATCTACTGTAGTTTTAATATATCTGTATTCATATTTCAGTATTCATATCTGAGAATAGCTCTGCAGTTGAGGCAGTTATGGAGTGACACACTCAAGGACAGTTTCATGGGGTGGGCAGGGACTGGAAGTAAGGTCTGTGTCCTGGCCATTCAAGGATTAGTGGCAAAAACATCCTTTTTAAAAGGAGAGAGTGCCAGAGTGATTCCTTATCGGCAGCATGATTAAGTTACCTGTTTCTTGTTGGAAATATAGTAAGAAATAGTCATCTATGGTTCATTCATGGTTGATGAAACATTTTAATGTATTGCAGATAAGAAAAAAAAATCATTAGAATAATTTCCTGTCGCCCCTCTCTTTGCTTTTTTCTGTGTAGAAGATTCCTTGTCTGCAAAACACTTGTTTGCTCATGCCCTTCAATACTGTTCCACTTTTATTTGTTGTGCCGCTCTACAGAGAAAAATGAAAGAAAGAAAATTATGCAAACCAAACTCCACCAAATCTCTTGAACCACTGCAAACCTGGGGATGCAGTGAAACAGACTTTGAGTTTGCTGGCAGGGAGTGGGTATTGATGTCTAAGGAATAATGTAATTTGTAAAATGAGTACATTTTCTAACTGGGGTGAGTTATGGTTTCTTAGTTTCCAATTTGCTGCATTCATCCGGTTAAGGGAGTGCTCTCTTCTTGCCCTGTGCTGACCCCGTAGCTAAGAGGTATATTCCTCTCCTTCCCCTCATCCAAGTACTGTGAAAAATCCCATTGTAACAAAGATCTTTGTTTCTTTGTTTTTCATATTCTAATGAAAACCTTTTTTATCCCTTCTATTTTATGAAAAAAAACTGTTTCAGTAAGTATCAGTGGGTACTTAGTCGGTCTTCCTAGTCTAGGAACAAATCCGAGCAATAGTGAAGAGTTATTTAAAGAGAAAAACAGTAATATGCCAGTGGAGAATCTGTTTCTCCCTGTAGCAATGTGTCATGAAGTATGTGCAATTTGAACTTAAAAATGCAGATGTTAAATCTGAAGAGATTCAATATGTTTAATATATTGGCTATAGTTTTGAAACAGCATGAATAAAGATTTTTTTAATCCAGCATATCTCGTGGAGTGAAGAGATGGGTAAAATTAAATTAAAAGTTGAAGGTAACATAAGTCACAATTCTCAGCTCGCTGGTCCACTCTTCTCAGAGTCTGTTGATCAGATCATCTCTAGCTGGCTGGATTAAGTGTGTGGTTGATTTACTCAGAGGATCCCCTTCCCCCACTACATCTTGGTCTTCATGAAGAATAGAGGACAAAAAGATAGGGCTCTTTTTTTCTGATGTCTGTATCTGTCTACTCAAATGAGCCCGCCCAGGATATTCTATAAACAGCTGCACCAAGAAAATTAGTGAAAAAATTGCTGTTATTAGTTTGATTGACAGTTAATAGATGGCCTAAACAGTGAACACTGGTATGTTCTGTATAATTTAGTACAATCCCCTCTAGTCTGTAGCTGAAGCATGCAATTAGGGCAACAGTGATGGCTCGGAACATTTCGCATTTTGCACTCTCTTTGAATTCAATTCGTAAATAAATTTCCTTTACATATGGCAGTATATTTAAAATACTAGACTTTGATAAATTAACTTCTGTCTGTAGCATTTGGTATTAAATGCTGAATTTATTTGATAAATTTAAAATTAGATTCATTCCAGAGTTGAAAATAGCTTAAAATTTATTTATAATCTGGTTTTGGCAATGAACCTTCATATCTGGTTTAGTATGCACTGCAGCTAATATAATTTCATACAAAATGTCTGTAAAGATTATTTTGCTTTGCGATACCGTATACCAACAGTTGGATGCAAAACAGTGATTTGAGATTTACAGTTAAAAAACTCTAGAATTGGAAATTGCACACCTAACTTTCTATATTAAGTCCTCTGTGTTTTTTTATAAAAGGAGTAATATAGGAATATGAATCTTAATAGAAAGTTGCAGTAATCTAACATAATACAGAATACACTTCTATATCTGCATGGTTTCTGAACACCCATGTAGAGGGAAAGTTTTGATATGTGCTGTGGACAGGGATGTTGCAGTGAGCTATACATAGATGAACTCTTGTATACTGGTAGACTGTCAATGACCTTTTTGAAACAATGTGTGCTTGCAAAAAGATCATTCATTGTGAGATTGGCTCATTTTAAAAATAACTGTTCTAGTTCTGTTTAAAATGGATATTTATTTTTTTGTTAGCATGATCACTTTTAGGTTGTAGCATACATTTCAGTCTATTAAATTCTCTTACCTCCTCCTTTTCTACTTCTGTTTTGTTTCATATTTGTATTCCAAAATATTAAATATAGTAACATGTTTGAATATGCACTATATCTTTTAAGGGTATACAATTTTGGATATGGCAGGTTTGTTTCATCCATGAATACTGTTTGTTGTGAAGTGCAATTGCATTTTGAACTTTAGGTATTCTGTATCTTTGAGATAATTAAATATTTCCCTTGCACTCATTGTTTAACAAACTTCATTTTTTGAACATTGAGAATAAGTGTTATCTGGAAGTTCAGAATGTGTCCTTTAAGAATTGTAGTATTCTATGTCAAATTGTTTTTATTACAAATTTCTGAATAGACTAAAGCAGGCACTATGTTGTTTCCATAAAATGAAAATTCATCATGCATTTCATAAAATTAGTAAGGTCATTAAGTCGTATCCTCTTTTAATGAGTAAAGGCACCTGAAAACCTATATTCTTCTCTGTAAGAAAAGGAAAAATTACGAAAGTATGAAAGTGCTTTTGAAATTGGCTTTACCTAGTCTGTGACAGGATGCATTAGTGGTCATTATCTGGCACTCCTGGAAAATATTTGGACCTTTTGAATGTATATTTTGAATTTATTCTAAGTTTACTTCTGGATGTGAATCTGCTGGTACACATTCATGTGTATTGCCTGGGGTTTTTTTACCAAAAAAAGCATTTATCACAAAAACATCCCTTGTTACACCCTAATGTTTTCTGCCCCGCACAAGTAGGAAATCTTAGTGAACAATAGTTTTAAGGACTAAGAAAAATCTGACTGAGTTTAAAAGGTGAGATATAGACTAAAACCTAAAGAATATCTAAAGCATAATGGCATACCTAAGTTTTACACTCTGCTGTCCATGAAATTCTGTATTAAAATAAGGGATGTTTCACAAATCTCACTATCTTGTTCTCAGGATGATAATTATCAAGTTTTTCAGTCATATCTAACTGTGGTTTATGTTTTCTCTTTTAAGTGAGGAAAAGACTGAGCAGTTGCTTGACTGTAAACAAGAACTTGAACAGATGGAAGCTGAACTGAAGAGACTTCAGCAAGAGGTACAGGTTTTGTAATACTATTGTTAAAGCAGACAAAAGATTGCTACCACTGGAATTTTATTTTTTTTTTAATTAGGAAGTATACTTTCATGCATTTTTAAATTTTACACTCTGAGTGCAGTCTTGTATAATTTATTCCTTTATTTGGTCCGATATGCTGGAAAAATATTGTAAGTTAGATTAGTGGCTCTAATTTTTTTTATTTCCACATTCAAGCAATTTACCACCAGCATACCCTATGAATGTACATGTGTGCTGATTTTTTTCTCAGGAATGATCCACTCAAATTTTGGCTGGTTCTCTTTATACTTTGAGTTTATGTGTTGATAATGAGGGAAAACATCCAATTCATTTATTATTACGATACAAGTGTATAAAATTATTGGGGGTCATTTGAGAATATTATCTGTAAAAGAAGTGTGCTGTTCAGTAGAAATGTGTGTACATACTTCTCTGTGAAAAAGGCCAATGCAGTTTGCCTGGAAATACATCGTCTGGGTTGAGCCTCTAAAAGTATTATTTATTTTTTCTTGTGCAGTTTGCCTAGAAATACATCATCTGGGCTGAGCCTCTAAAAGTATTATTTATTTTTTCTTTACCTTTCTCAGAATTAACTTGTGATATCCCTCTTCATTACTCTTGATTTAAATAAAGAAGCAGCTGTGTTATCCTTCAGCACATACTTTCCAGTATTTTTGCCTTTAATTTCTTTATTTTCCAGAATATGAATTTACTCTCAGATGCCCGTTCTGCCAGAGTGTATAGAGATGAATTAGATGCTCTTCGTGAGAAGGCAATTCGAGTCGACAAGCTTGAAAGTGAAGTCAGCCGGTATAAAGAGAGGCTGCATGATATTGAATTCTACAAAGCTAGAGTGGAGGTATATGAAGGAAAAAAATGCTGAATAACCATCAGTTTTTGTTTGCTATTGCTTTCTCAAAGTTATTTTGATGACTTAAACATTGGGACGTGAAAACAGTGGTATAGCTTCTTGCTCTGGGATATATGGTAATCAGTCTTCTGCGATAAACTACAGTTTTTAGGTAAAAGTCCCTGTGTCAAATGCCATGAAGTTTCATTTGAAGTCAGCAGTATTCACCATAGCTCTAAGCTGACAAGACCAATAGGAGCTTCTGTTTAGGGTATATAGTACGTATTGAGAAAGTCAAGGAGGCATTAATTAAAAATATGCTCTAAATGTAGTGATTTCTTTCTCCTCTTTTGGGTGTCATAAGAGAATGCATTTTTCTAAGTAAAGTGTTGAGGAAATAGTAGCTATGCACATAAATTGAGTATAGGAAGATGGCATTCCATGGATAAAAATACTAAAAAAAAAAATGCACTGACACCAGGCAAGAGAGACTTACAGTTCTGTCATGAATTAGAAGTTCAGGAAACAAAGCATCAACGTGCAGTGTTTTATTAGGCTATCGTTCCGTCTGCGGATGGCAGATTCGTTGGGCAAATGCCAAGATGGCAGAATTTGTGAAAGGAGGAGTTACTTGTGGGAGCCAAAACTAATGCAAGTTTAAAGACATTTTCAAGGTGGGCATTAAAAAAAAAAAGACTCCTAGAAAAGCAGGGAGAACTTGAATGCCTGCTGGAAAGAATATTATGTTGCCCAGATGCAGTTGTTGAGATACTGATGTAAGCAATATGTCGACATTGTGATTTGTGGTAACTTCCAGATTTTCTTCCCACTGAACTGCTGTCTAGACATGATACAATATTCCCAATACACTAGTTATCTCCTCTGAAACATGTCATAATACTAATGACCAATGCTACAGCATCCTCTGGAAAGAGACTTCTATTTTAGAATGCTTAAAAGTTAAAACCTTCTAATGAATATGTACTTCATATGTCACAGCATAAAATAGCTACTACTGATAAAAGGTACTATTGATGGAAGGGGAAAAACTGCAAGGCAAAACCCAAATCTTTTTAATGTTCAATTGTAGATTCTTCATCCAGAACTCGGAGCTAAAGCAGATCAACTGACACAGGAGTTATTAGCTTTTTAATGGAAAATGAGATGGATAGTTTTCCCAGGAGGACTAAAGTGTAGAACAGCTAACAAAAGACTGTAGTGAGACATAAGGTGCATGGTGCAGATTAAAACATTGTTAAAAGGGCTTTAGATATATCTGAAATTAAAAAAAAAAAAAGTGTTTCCTGAGACTTGTCTTTTTAAGATGACTTGTTCTTAGCCTTGCTTGTGGAAATTAATTTTATCATCTTACTGGTTAATGTGAAATAATCTGATGAAAGTGAAATAATCTGATGAAATTTGAAGAAACTTTTTCAAGATGCACTAAATACAGACCTTAACAGCTGTCATTGAAACATCCGTTCTTGAGGAAGCTCCAAAGCTGCTTTCGCATGCCACTTAAAAACAGAGATTGGTAACTACTTTGAAACTCTGGATCTTTTCTCAGTGTTTGACATTCTTTAAATAAGATATAGCTGTTCAACTTGAGCTCAGTGATAGAGGTCTAGTTCTGTGGTGTCTGTTCTCAAATTTCCTCAAAGCTGTTGGCTGTTACCTATATATGATGTAATAGGTTAGTGTACATGGGTCTGTTGGAAAATCAGGTACTGTGTATGAGAAAAATCAGCCTGCCAGTGCATGAGAAAACCTTTGTATGTGAGCTACTTGAAAGTCATCTTACATGAATGACTTTTCTATCTATTACTTTTGTAAGAGGGACTGAAAGCATATGGTTAAAAAAATTGGTAAAGGAAAAGTGATTAGTGTACAGGGTTTGAAAAGAGTGGAAATCTCATTTTTGTGTAATGATTAAACTAGTAAAAAACCCTAAAATTTCTTTTCATGTTTCATAGCTTGTAAACTATCAGATTTTTTCAAGCATACTTGAATAGAGAGGGATGTTAATTAGTTGGTTTTGCTTCATAATAATAATTACAAGTTAACTTAATATTTGTGTAGGGAGGAGCATGAAGGGTAAATATTTATGTTATATTCACTGATCTTTTTTCAGATTTTGCAGCTGCCTACTGAAGTTTGAAAAGTTTTGTCTTTACATCATGAGTAAAATTGCCAATTATATGTTTTCACATATTACAGTTTTCATCAGATGCCATTAAAAAATAATCCTCTGTGCATAAATTAAAGCTGTTTAGGACCTTTGGATATGGCTGGTTGTATTTTAAGAATGTGGTTGCGTTTTCAACATCATGTCCTGACTTTGGGCTTAAGTAAGCTTGCCCTGTGGCCTGTAAACCTAATTATGGCCTGTAGAAAATCATTCTCTTTTGTTCTCCATTTCCTGCAACCCAAAGATTAGGGAGTTCGATCTGATAATAAGTTAAATTATGGGCCAAAAGGATCATTTATGTCCATCTCCACTCTTTGACAGTGGCCAGTAGTAGATGCTTAGAGGAGAGGGAAAGAACAGGGCAAGCACTCGGTGATACTTTCCTGTTGTGCTCTCCCAGCCTCCAGCAGTCTCTGCTCAGGAAAATCATACTCAGAGGTGGTACTTCTGAGCTTGTGGGTTTTCTTGCATGAATTAGATAACTTCCCAACACATGTAAGCCTTTTCATCTATACAATCACGTAGCAGTAAGCTCCACAATTCAATTATGTGGTGTGTGAAGTACTATTTTTTGTTTGTTTTGAGCCTGACACCTGTAATTGTTATTTGGTGTCAACCTTTTGCTTACCTGTCCATATACATCTTTCCAGGTCACATCTCAAATCACAGGGATATTTATGGTTTGATTGTGATTATTAACACCTTACTTATTCTTAATGGTTTAGGGACTATTTCATTTCTCTTAAGGTATGAAAAAAATTTCTTTTCATAAATATTTCATAAGTTACAGTTATGTGAAATTGCTGTAAATCTGTTTTTTTACAAAAAAAAAAATCTGTTACAGCTTCCAAAGAAATGTTTTCGCATTAGAGCAACACTTCTAAAACTAGGTATGATGTGTATCAAAGTTTGTATTAATAAGGAAATACCTTTTGTTGTGAACTTGCTTTATTGCTTAACTCTTGCAGGAGTTAAAAGAAGACAATCAAGTTTTGCTAGAAACAAAGACAATGCTGGAAGATCAATTAGAGGGGACCCGAGCCCGTTCTGATAAATTACATGAGTTAGAAAAAGAGAATCTCCAATTAAAAGCTAAATTACATGATATGGAGATGGTAAGTGTAAATGGAGGATGACAAAGACAACTGATATGCTTTGAATTTAATTTTCATTTTTAATGAAGGAAGTTCCAGTGAAAATGGCGAGGCAGAGGAGGAAGGGATGTCTTGATTTACTAACACTTCTCAGATAGTTTCCTACAGTAGCTTTGATTCTGTCTAGGAAAGGAAAAATGGCAAAGGCAGTACTCTTCCTAAAGGCAGTACAGTGTTTAATCGGTTAGCTAAAATACAGTGATAAGAAATACAGAGAGTCATTAGTAAGAATGATAGGATCACTCTTTTTATGTGAAGATAGTCTTGTCACTTAAATGCTTAGATAAAAGAGGTTATTCATATTGCAAATTCTGGCAGAATAGTGACATATTTTTCAGAGGATTATTCCCAAAGTAATTTCTGGTTTTAACCAGTTCTCTTCCAAAAAGTATATATTCTAAAATATAAATTCGTAATTTACCTGTGTGATATTTTTTTTTCAGTTTTCCTTAAGGGGTGACAGATTATTACCTTCTGCTTACTTTCATTTTCTGCAAAATGTTGAGAGTTATAGCTGCAACTTATTGCTGTTAAAATAGCAAGTGTGGGGAGAGGGGGTTATAAAGAGCCAGGTGAGAACCCAGTACTGTTACAGCTTTTTGCATCAAAGTAGTATTACGATAGTTTAGAGAAGGTGAAATTTTGCTTCTCTGTGTCCATTTGGGTTTTGTGTGTGCTACCAAGCTGTGCTTATGTGTACTTTTTTCCCGATACTCTTGAGAAGTGAACTTTGAAAGAGAGTAAGTAGTCATTGCATAGGTTATGATAAGAGGTTCTTCTCTCCATACATTTCTTTACAGGTTGTTACACTTCTAAGTTCTCAATAATTTCAATTTCCGTGTATCACTGTGTATTAGCAAATCAGAAAATGCACTTTGTATTTCTCTGTGGCATACTAGATACTAAAATATTTTGTGCATGTTGAGACATATTTTTATAACTTACATCTGAAATAATTTTTAAGGAGCGTGATATGGACAGAAAGAAGATTGAGGAACTGATGGAGGAAAATATGACTCTAGAAATGGCTCAGAAACAGAGTATGGATGAATCATTGCATCTTGGCTGGGAACTTGAACAGATAAATAGGACTACTGAACTTTCTGAAGGTAAACATAGTAATACTTGCAAACTGATAAAGTAGAAAAATTGAAAGCTCAGAGGCTGGACAGCATTAGGAAATCACAGCTCTTGATTTCTGAAGTACAGGGTCTTTCATCCTCTGGAGCGATGGGACAGTTTGGGGCTTATTTTTATGTTTGGTTTTGTTGTGTTAGTTTGGGATTTTTTCACTCAGTCCCATGCGTCCTTGCAGATACCTCCTACAGTAAAAGTCTCTGTTCTTGTGATTCTTGTTCACTTAAACAGAGGTGTAAAACCCATAAATACCTTGGAGTTAGATTGTGTTGCCATTCAAACTTCTATACTCTGTAGCACAGATCATGAGCCTTCTTGCTTTGCTGTTCTCAAAGTTAATAGAGATTTATTAAGGCTTCTCAGAGTAATTGTTTGCAGAGATACCTGTGGCAAAAATTTTGATTCTTCCACTATAGCATGCTTGGTCATACACTGGAATCTCATACAAAGGATTTGTGGAAATTTAGAGATACATCCTCAGTCACAGGAAACAAATCTCTGCTGTGATGAGGAACTGTAGGATGAGTAGAACATTTCCTTCTATGCATCTGCAGTGTTATCTGTTGGTCATTAATCCTAACTAGCTCTCTTCACCAAGAAGGCATTGGAGGACCGTCGAAGGCTTCTTAATCCTCTAGTCTAAAAATGCAAACTGCAAGAACTCGAGGTTATATGTAACTTTTTTTTAAGTGGTGTTTTTCTCTTAGTGCCACAGAAATCACTTGGTCATGAGGTAAATGAACTGACGTCAAGCAGATTACTGAAGTTGGAAATGGAAAACCAAAGTTTGCTGAAGACAGTGGAAGAACTACAAAATGCAGTGGGTTCTGTAGAAGGCAGTAGTTCAAGGATTCTGAAAATGGAAAAAGAAAACCAAAGACTTAGCAAAAAGGTAATCATCAGCGTATGTTCAAATAGTGTATGAGTTGCCTAATGTTGCCTGCTGTTTTCTTTCTAAAGGGTAATTTTATGAATTGGTCTTATTTGGGGTAAAGTATTACTAGGATCTAAATGATGTTATGGTGTTTGTAAGTTTATGGTAAAAAAGAAAACCATATCAGAGAGGTTTTTCTTGGTTTTTAGTTTTGTTTTTTTATCGATGTAAGAATGTGACCATTTTATTCAGAAAGGTCTTACACCAGTGAGGGAAAATATTATTAACATATAGGGGATATAGTGAGTACTGAAAATGTTTCATGAATGTTGTTTTAATTTTTGTAATTATTAAGCAGGGGAAAGTACGTGTACATGGATATAGAGTGACTGATAAGTCTAAGCAGAAAACTTGGTCACGTGTCCTCATTTGTAACTGAGAAAGAGAGAAGATGTGCCAAGGAATTGATGAGCAAGAGAGAAGTTTTTCAGATTTATCTGTGCTGATCTACAATATTTTACTCTCCAAATTACCTATATCAAATAGAGTAATTTACTCAGTAATATTTATAGAGAATAAAAATTGGAAAAAACCCAGACTAATTACAGTGGAGTGAAATGTCTGAAGTTTCTGAAACAGCTTTTTCTTCAGCAGATATTTCAGATGTTAGACTATTCTTAGTGGCGAGTGGGGAAGAGATAATTAAAAAAAATAAATGGCAAGAAATCCCTACTGTATTCCATACTTCCATGCTTTTTCTGATTTCTTAACAATATGGCATTTTTTGCAGCAGTCTGTGTGCTGATTTGAGTTTCTGTACAGTACCAGAAAGTCAGCTAGGAGGGTGCAAGAGAAAGGAATAGGTGTGTAAGTAGTAAGCAATAGTAGGTCTTTGTGGTTGTCCGATACTGTTCTTACCACTTTGGATGCCTGGTAGCATGTCCTTTTTCTCTCTTGCCCCTAAAACAATATTCTCAGCAGTGATTGCTCAGTGAAAAGCGTGTCTGTTATGAATTTTCTATACAGAGTCTACTTCTAGCTGGACATGCTTTCTCTTAAACCACTACTATAGAGTCGTATAAACACGACCAGAGTGGCAGTTGGGCAGATGATGGATAAATTTGGTTTCCAGATGGAAGCTGACTGCATCCCCACTGGGGTGATTGAGCCAGTTACTGCTCCTTTGCAAAAAACAATGAAAGTGCCAGTATCCCTGTGAAACATGTGTTGGTCTGCGAAGCAAGGGACAGGAAAATCTGAAATTGAGAGGAAGAGGGAGAGGGAAGCAAGAGACTGGTCAAACATTAGTATTCTCATTCTAAGAGAAGGATTTAATTCAGGTTCCGGCATAATTGATGCCATTCTTTTTCCATATTTCTGATCAACAAATTGCTTCACAGAGGAACAAATTCCATTCTGCTACTTTTTTGAGATTTATTTCTCAGTATTATTTAGCAGCAGTTTAATGTATCATTCAGTTAGTTTGTTTCTAAAAGTATTCCCTTTGCCTGGGGTATGAGTTATGTCTGGACTCCTCTAAGATTGGGGAATATGGATGATGGAGTTCACATAGTATCTAAACTTTCCAGCAGATGATTGTTTAAACATGCAATGTCTTGTTTCTAAGTAATTATAACTTAGATATGACAGAAAAATCACACTTGATTATTTTCACTCATAAATAGTTTTGCTTTGTGATGACATAAGAGAGTTGGACCCATTTGACAACACAAACCTGTAAATTTAATTCCCAAGAAATCATCATAAGTATCTCTTGAACTAGTTAAGTGAGATCAAACAACATTCAACCTTTCTAAGCTAAAAGGGACTTGGAGGAGCAGTATAAATCTCACTAAAATGGAATTTTAAAAGAGAAAAAGATGCTTGGGAAAATATCCAGAGCCTAATAAAATCTGACCAATTTTTTTAATGCAGAAATACTTTATGGATGTAATCTTCTGAGCCAGCGAGAAAATTCTGGCAGAAGTAAATTTATTCCTAGAAGAGACGAATTGTTTCAGATCAAGAATCGAAAATTCCATTTTATTCTTTCCTTTAGCCTTCTTTATTCATTTCTATAAGGGTACTTTCAACCCAGCTAAGAGTAATATTATTGTCACTTTTAAGGACATTTAAAAAAAAATTGTTTCTTTTTCCCTAGCTTGAAGAGCTAGAGAATGAAATTAGCCAAGAGAGACAAAGTCTTCAAAACAGTCAAAATTTGAGTAAAGATTTGATGAAAGAAAAAGCACAACTTGAAAAGACACTTGAAACACTTCGAGAAAACTCAGAGCGACAAGTGAGTAGCAGAATCAAGTCTTAATGGTGTGTTGTACTGTTCTCCTTTTGTACATTTTTAAAGGCATAAAGGGGTTGTAAATGTAGCAGGTGTGCCAAAAGGACCTATCTGCAGCAAAATAGGTTGTCTAAGACCTGCAGCCAGTGAGAGACATGACTCATTTTTAGCTGAGGCTTTACTGTTAGTTTTAGAACTTTTTAGTGTTTTGTAATGCTTCTGTGGCTTTCATGGGCCGTGCATTTGCTATAGTTGCTTAGAGGGTGTAGCTCAGCCAAAATAGAAAATTGGGAACTTTGGAGGTATGCCAAACACCTCTCAATGGAGACAAACAGGTTCCAGACAGCTGGTCAGTGTTTGAAGTAATGTGGGAGTATTAATGAGTTACAGCAGCCTGTCCCTCAAAGGGACCTGACAGAGACCAGTGTAGCAGAGCTGGTCTGCTGCTCCGTTGCAGACTCCGTTCCTCCTGCGTCCCTCACAGTCTTGTTATTTGGGGTAGGAACCATTGTGGCCAGCTTCATTGTAGTCCCCTATACTTGAACGTATTCTAGCTGTGACTTGTAGGTGGATAGCAGAATTTATTTTTAGTTGCCAGAAACTGGCATCTGGGTCTTTATAAAAGATATGAGCTGTATTTGGGAGGGTGCTGAATGTCACTGACGTATCTGTGTCTAATGGGTGCCGACACCTTCTGAGGTCTTTGCAGAGCAATTCAGAGGACCTATGGAAGGCAGCTGCTAGTAAACAAGAGTTAGGGAAACTTCTGGAAACCCCAACTTTAGTAATCAAGTTCTCCAGAATTAGAACTGTAGTTATGTTTTATAAATTCCACTGATACTTCTCAATGACATTAACATTTTTTAGTTTAATTTAAAAGTCCAGTACTTGGGAATACCAAGTGCTGTATTCCAAAAATCTTGAAAATTTAATCAGTAATGAAATTCCAGACTTAGAAAAGCAAACAACAACAACAGCTTAGCATCAAAGCTTTACTTTCATGTAAAGAGAACAGTGGAGGTAATTTTAAAGAAAATATGCAAGCTTGTCTTGTTTAGAAGTGTTCATTGTTACAGTAATTGATTTATAGATTGCATTAGAAGTGCACTTTAGGGAAAAAAAGGACTAAAACTTTCTGGAATAAGTCACAAGTCCCAGTTCAACCATGAGAGATACATATATTGTTTTAAACTTGTTGGAGTAGGACTGACATTTCAGTGGAACTATTTCTGCTTAAAAATAATATACTTAAGAGCTGTGATGGGTTAACAGCATCTTTCACGTCTTTTTACAAATTTTCTGCTGAAACTGGAATCAAGGTACAAGGTTTTTTTTTTTATTTCATCAAGAATTATGGAGGCATTGATCATGATTTTTTGTTAAGTTTGGATTATAGAAGCAGAATTCATGGAAAGTGATTATGCGTGTTCAGTAATGTACCAAGTTATGTAAAGACGTGTTAAAAAGTTGTGGTTTTAGACACCTGTTAATTAGTTTTTCATTAATCAGAACAGTTTGTCATTGCTAGGAAGGGAGCCGTAGATCCTGTAATTAATAGTTACATTCAGTCTTAAATATGAAAGAACAGTCTGTAATTTTCTCAATCTGTTTTTCCATTGCAAAGACCACTTTTGCTTTTCTCCAAAACAGTTTATTGTTGAAATATCCCTTATGGTATGTTATTAGTGTATTCTTAAATATTGATTTAAACAGTTTTCTGGATTTTGCTCTCTGTTGTTACATACCCCAATAATTTCAATTTATTTGGAGTAACTGAAAAAAATCAAGAAATACTGAAAATTAAGATATAAATGCTGCCTTTATCCTTGAGGTAGATCTGGGGATATGTTAGTGAAGAAAATAATTCAATTCTAATATTATTTACTTTCTCTGGAAGCTGTTTTGGAACAGCATGTCCTTAGAGTTCTTTTTAACTAAAAAATTAATGTAACATTTGGGGAAAAACACATATCTAAGTTATTGACTGTGATCAGGATGCCCTCAGATCACCTCTATTTTTTCCAAGTGAAATAAAGACACCTTTGTGGCTTCCACACCTCTTTCCATCTCAGGTTTAGAACTTGACTGCAGTTTTGTTCTTTGTGGACACGTATCTCTGGAAATTACAGTGTTTAAGACAAATAATCTAAATCTGGGTAAGAAAAATGAAAATTAAATGAAGTTAAGAAATAGATACAGCTTTGTTTTGGTTTGTGCTTTGTTAGTTTAATTTTGGTATTTACTAATATCCAAGAGGAAGATACATGAAGATTCACTTTGACTTATTTAACTGACAGACTTCTACCTGTGTACATACACAGCATTTGTAATGGTGCAAATAAATACCAGGAGAGTAAGAGAAATTCTTTTTATAACTTAAAATAAAAGGCAAATATGATGTAATCTTACCATCTTAATAGCTTTCAGTTTATATATGGAAGTAATTGCTTGTTGGCCTGTTGTTCACCAGAGTTTACAATTTTTCTCCCCAAATTAGATTAAGCTATTAGAACAAGAAAATGAACATTTGAATCAAACTGTAGCTTCTCTAAGACAACGGTCACAAATCAGTGCTGAAGCAAGAATGAAAGAAATTGAAAAAGAAAATAAAATCCTTCATGAGTCTATTAAAGAAACCAGCAGTAAGTTAAATAAGATTGAATTTGAAAAAAAGCAAGTCAGGAAAGAACTGGAACACTATAAAGAGAAAGGAGAGAGAGCAGAAGAACTCGAGAATGAGCTGCATCATCTGGAGAAGGAAAATGAATTATTACAGAAAAAAATTACTAACTTAAAAATTACTTGTGAGAAGATCGAGGCCTTAGAACAAGAAAACTCAGACCTGGAAATGGAAAACAGAAAACTAAAAAAAACTTTGGATAGTCTAAAAAATCTCACATTTCAATTGGAATCCTTAGAAAAGGAGAATTCACAACTTGATGAAGAAAATTTGGAATTAAGAAGAACAATTGAATCCTTGAAGTGTACAAGCATTAAAGTGGCACAATTACAGTTAGAAAATAAGGAACTGGAGAGTGAAAAGGAGCAACTTAAAAAAAGCCTTGAACTCATGAAAGCCTCATTTAAGAAAACTGAACGCTTGGAAGTCAGTTATCAAGGCCTAGACACAGAAAACCAAAGGCTACAGAAAGCCCTTGAAAACAGCAATAAGAAGATTCAGCAATTAGAAAGTGAATTACAAGATTTAGAGTCTGAAAATCAGACTCTGCAAAAGAACTTAGAAGAGTTAAAGATCTCTAGTAAGCGCCTAGAGCAATTGGAAAAGGAGAGTAAGTTGTTAGAGCAAGAGACTTCTCAACTGGAAAAAGATAAGAAACAGCTAGAAAAAGAAAATAAAAGGCTTCGACAACAAGCAGAAATTAAAGATAGTACTTTAGAAGAAAACAATGTAAAAATTAGTAATCTGGAAAAGGAAAATAAATCTCTATTTAAAGAAATAGTTGTATATAAAGAGTCATGTGTGCGCCTGAAAGAACTAGAAAAAGAAAATAAAGAACTCGTGAAAAGAGCTACCATTGATAAGAAAACCCTCGTCACTTTACGAGAGGTAAACAGAAATTAAGTTTCCATTCCCGTCATAATCGGCTTGTAACGTAGAGAAATTATATCTGTGTTTTTGAAAAAAGTTTGTATTTTGTATTTTTATGCTTTAAGCTGCATACTATTAGCATCTTTAATGGTTACAAAAAACGTTAGATAATAAAAATTTATATAATCATAATAAACAATAAGATAAACATATTACACTTAATTCTGTAAGGTTGCTTACAGACTGTCATGGAGCCTTTGTTAAATGAACATTGTGCAGATTCTTCGTGTTAGTATTTGTTCTGGTCAAAACATTTTCCCCTTCACTATAATGTTCAAGACCAAATTTGAAGGGGAAGTTGTACAGAAAGGGAGGGAGTAAACAACTACAGTGAAATCATATTATAGTTACAGTGTAATGTCTGATAGAGCTGAAAGCTAACAATTGGAAGGAAAGGAGAGTTAACATTGAGGAGTCATGTAGTGATAAAAGACTCTTGCCTCAGCGCTTCCAGGATTAAGACTACATTATTTTATTTATATGATAATGCTGACTGTAATTTTTTCTGCATAAGGACTTGGTGAATGAAAAATTGAAGACTCAACAAATGAACAATGATCTAGAAAAACTTGCCCATGAACTTGAAAAAATAGGCTTAAACAAGGAGCGTCTCTTGCATGATGAACAGAGCAGTGATGACAGGTGAGAATGTCAAGGCCTACCTGGAAGAGTGTAGAAATGAGGGTCTCTTTTATTCATAAAGAGAAAATGATTTCAGACTATTTTTGTGCAAACTCTTTGATTTTTAAGGCACACTAATAGACCCAAAATGGAACTTGCTGTTCTTTGAAATTAATGAGGTGGTTGATGTGCTTTTGTCTGTTAAAGTGAGTTGCCACTTTTTGTTACTAAGAAATTTCTTGAAGTATGTCAGTAGATATAGTTAACGTATAATTAAAATGTTTTATATTCTAGTTAGCAGCAGAAACAGTAGCAGTAAAGGATAATAGGCCCAGAGTTGGTGGTTGGGTTTTTTTTTTTTCCTTTTTGACTGCTTGACTGATAGAAATGGTTTCTATGCTTTTGTCACACAGTGGTTACCTTAAA